AATCTTCAAACATATTTCAGTGAAGATGGCCCCATTCAATCAGGCAGAGGCGTTAAGATGAGGAATAGAAAGTTGCGGGAGACCTGATGCATCAGGTTCAATGCAGGGTTACCCAAGAGTTTCGGAGTTGCATCCGTCAACCAACACAATTTATTATCAATTGATCACCAGCTACAGGTACTGGTTTAAGAGTTACAGATCTAGACAGGTAAACTGATTAATGTGGCATTAATCAGATTTGGACAATGCGTAAAAGCTGAGGAATTAAAATCTTTACAAGTTCTTACACTTTAAAGAAAAATACTCGTTGTATTTTCTTTTTATGGTGTATTAGGGACGATTTTTCACAATATCTGGTGTCAAACAGATGAAATTCATAGCACACGTTATTAGGCTTCACAATCTTCACTACTGGTTTTGCCTTTGGATGTCTGGAGAACCTGTCTGCATCCTGACTGACGTATGTAGCTTAGAATTAAGTGAGCTGTTCTCTAGGAAGTAACTGACAACGGAACTTTAATGACCATGAAATTCTAGATAAATTTTTTTATTTCCAGTTCCAGTTCCACGAAGGCAAGGGTTATTCATTTGGAAATTGAATACTGACTTATTTCTATATCTATTCTCTTAACAGATACTGCTCTTCACGTGAAAACTTGACTATTGATCATGTTTTCCCAATTGCACGCGGTGGACAGTGGAAGTGGGATAATCTGGTAAGGTAACCAGTTCCATTTGAAGATTTGATTTCTTGATGCATAAATCAGACTCCGTAGCGGTGCTTAATTCTCTTTCCTGAGTATGATAACAAGATGCAGTATTATCATTATGCGATGTGGGCATTAGCTATCGAATAAAGTAGCTCCAACTTTCAGTAAGGAGATGTACAACAGTTGGGATTATCCAAAACCTCACTAAGATTAGGAGAAAGGATGCTCGTTTCCATCGACTTGTATAATGGATGCTGCATGAATGAATGATCACTGAAGTGGAGAAGCATTCCGTAGCTGTTATTTGTTCATTGTCCATCTGATTCCTCTGGAAACCCTTTACTTCGAAGGAGAAAATAAGACCTTGATGGCATAAATTGAATACAATTATTGCACAGAAAGTGCAAAATACATTCGTCATGCTGCTACCATACAAGTTGTAACATCAATTATGAAACTGGGATATATGGCAGGTACATGTGTTTAGGTACTGTTGTGGTTGAATTCTCTTGTGAACGCTTAACATGCAGGTCACCGCATGTGCAAGGTGCAACTCAAAGAAAGGTCAGAAGACGTTGGAAGAAGCAAATATGAAGCTGATGAAAGTCCCCAAGGTAATTTATTTCGATTTGTTTGTTTGTTTTTTCTTTCTTTTACATGTTACTGGCATGAGTGAGCGAGCCTGGCTACAAATTAAGATGCATACAATTGAATTGAATTGAATTGAATTGATTTCGCAGGCTCCGAAAGACTATGACATACTTGCAATACCACTAACAAGTGCAGCAATTAAAATGCTGAAAATGAGAAAGGGAACTCCAGAAGAGTGGCTCCAATATCTATCAAATTCCAAGCCGCCGCCTTCTTCAGAGCCATGACACCATCACTAGGCACTAGGCACTAACTACTTGTGCTTATTTCTATGCATATCATGCATTGTAACACATTTCATGTATACAATCTCTACCTTGGTTTAGGCCTTCATTTGCATAAACATGAAAGGTCAACAACCTATATTTGCAGCATCTTTGTTGATGATAAATGCAATTACGAGATTTAAACCTAATATCTCTCACTTTTAAGTTGGTGAAGTCATGACTCACCAAACTCCAGAAGCTTTTGTTTTGTTGTCAACAGATCTGGCCCCAAATTTACATGACAATAATGCATAATGTTTGTGAAAAATTAAAAACCCCACAGCCCAGGATCAACCCGGACAAATCTAGTATAGAGGGCCAACCATGAAGGCGCAGACGTCAGTCACATTTTAAAATCTCTCTCTCCCTCTCTCTCCCTCTTCTCAGATTCTCTTTCAAATTACCAAGAAAGTAATTAGGAGAAGATAATTCTTCACTAGCTGAATCTTCACCGCTGCTAGCTTTAATGAAATAAATTGAACTTTTCGGTTCACCAAGGGTAGAATTTGGCCCTGAAATAAGACAAGTAGAGCAAATCCCCAAAGAAACTGATATTCTTCGGATTCCAGTTCAACCATGCGGACAATAAGCTATTTCTTTATGCATTTTGAGGAGTGGAGTTTGAATACTAGTTCTCTTCAATATTCACAGGAACTGCATCCAATGCAATTGCCTGCAATATTACCGGCCAGGATTCTTCTAAGCAAGGTTGCAACTTTGATGGTACCAGAGGTGACGGAATTCCATCAAGAAATGGATTCCACCGTAATCCTTCAACACACTAATCCAGTACTTCCTAAGCATGATTGAACTCTTTGAAATAATGGTAACAATGCTTGAACTCTTTGAAATAATGGTAACACACTAATCCTCAAGAACGCGTATGTTTAACATAGTTAACATTTGAGAGAGGCATGAGCAGCAAGAAGTCTTATCTCGATCTACATTACAATTAGTAAATTAGTTTTCCATTTAAGAAGTAAAATGGATTCCTTCAATCAAGACAACATTAAAACAAAAGTTAAACAATGAAATTTATACAACCATTCTATATAAAACCATCTCTGCAATCAAACGTCTGCAGATGAGGATCTGAATTACTTTGCGGAAGATTTGAAGCATGGTACAGCAGTCTGTAAAAGTCTAGTGTGCATTATATTTTGAAGGGATTGTAAACCATTTAATGAATTTTGGAACTAGAGTATATTTGGCCACTTGAAGTGTAAATAGAGCACGGATATGAAGACAATGGTTAGAAATTTGAACAATATCAAAGCTGAAATGAGTTGAACTCGTTTAAGCCATACTAACTGCTCGACACTAGTTAATAAATGTTTAGACTCGTTGATTTCAGTATGTGCTTTCTGATATTCTCAGAAGGAAAAATATATAACACCAGGTGAATTCTTCCTCCATTACCGATATTTCCTAAAAATGAAAAGCGCAAGTCTATATATCTATGGAACACCTCAATGATTATCGTAGGGACGATGAGCTCATGCCTCCCCAAGGAAGCTATAAAAAGGAATATCCAAACGAACCTACCTACTGCGTTTGCCATCAGGTTTTGCCTGTTTATTTTCACCTTTATTTTCAGTTTGTGCTACATTCTTCAGTTATGTTGAAAATCCCTGCTGCATGTTTTGAAGTAGAGGAACTATCGTGATTTTTCAGGTCTCGTTCGGAGACACGATTGCATATCCTTTTTCTGGCTTGGCTACAAAGACCGTATTGGTTGTCAATGGCCCTACTAAAACTAAAAATAAGCAAGGTTAATCTTAATTATGCTGTGTTATATTTCTTTATTATGGTGATTTTTATTTGCTGACAGTGCCAAGGACGTGAATGGTTCCATTATGCGTGTGTTGGGCTGACAACGGAGACGAGATTCAGGGGAAAGTGGTATTGTCCGAATGCATGCTACAACCACAACAGGATATTCGTCGCGCGAAAAGTAAACAAATTAAAAGGTGGGTGGAGCTGAAATCTTAGAAAGTTAGTATCTCGACGGTCCAAGACTGGGCACCCGTCAATCACCAGACTCCTCTAGACCAACATACGCCTATGTCTTCCAAAACTAGAGCTCCACTCCCCCGCCAACGGGGTTGATTGGGAGTCCCGCCAAGGTTATGCTTCTTTCAAGATTGAATCTTTAGCCTTTTTTTCTTCTTGTGCGTTTGCTCTGTTAATCAGAATACCGGAGCAAACGCACAACAACAAAAATCCTAAAAATTTAATCTTGAAGGAAACATTACCTCGGCGGGACTCCAACCAGCCTGGCTGGCGGAGAAGAAAGAGGGGCATTCGAGCTGGAGTTTTGGGAGGAGATTGACCGTATGTCGGTCTAGTGGAGGAGTGAGGGGTATTTGATGGCCAGTCTTGGGCCGTCGAGATACCAATATTTCTTTGGAAGCGGGAGGAGTGCGGTGGTTGAAGAGGTATTGATGAGGATGGATACACTAGGAAAAGAATTGGTGTTTGAAAAACAATTTGGGTGCCACTACTAGACAATCACCCACCTTTTATAGAACGACTTCTGAGGAAACTGCAAGGTTGGCAACAATCAACGCTCTCACAAGCAGGGCGGGAGGTCTTGATCAAGGTCGCGGCACAAGCAATCCCAGCATACCCGATGAACCTGTTTAAATTCCCTAAGACATTATGTAATGAATTTGATGCCATGATTTCTAAATTTTGGTGGGGGCAACAGAGTGGAGAAAACCGCATCCATTGGGTCTCCAAGGCAAGGTTATGTAGCGCTAAGGTTGAAGGTGGACTTGGTTTTAGGAATTTTGAATCTTTTAATGACGCTCTACTGGCTAAACAATGTTGGAGACTGATATAGGAGCTGCATACGCTGTGGGCACAAGTTCTTAAAGCTTGATATTTTCCCAATTGTTCTTTCCTTGAAGCTAAGCGGGGAGGACGAGCTTCCTGGGCTTGGTCTAGTTTATTGGCGGGACAAGATATACTATTGAGGGGCGCTCATTGGCAAATTATGAATGGTCGAGAGGTTTAGGTTAGGAAAGATCGATGGCTCCCACACGTCCCACTGGGGAGACCGGAACCAATGAGTGTGGTGCCTATCACTAGAACATTGATGGTGAGCTCTTTGATTAATTCGGCCACTGGGCAATGGGATATTGAATTCTTGAAATCTTTTGTGTCACAACGAGACTATGAGGCGATCTTGGATACACCCATTGGTGACTCGTTGTGTCATGATCGATTGGTCTAGCCTTTTGAGAAACATGGCACCTATACAGTTCACTCGGGTTACCATTGGGCTCGTGCCCGCCAGGGACCACCAAGGATTATGAGTGCATCGACTTCGGCTACTATTCCAAAGTCTATTTGAAAATGGGTGTGGAGTATGGAGGCTTTACCCAAAATCAAGTGCTTTTTGTGGAAGACTCTTAATGCGGATGTTCCTACTATGGCAAATTTATTTCTCAAACGATCTTCTCCATCGCCTATGTGTCCTATTTGCAATGCTCAGGAAGAATCAATTGAGCATCTTCTCTTACTTTGTCCATGGGTGGAATTGGTGTGGTTTGGGGGAGATTTGGGTACAAGGCTACATCTGTGTGAAGTCACAATATGGCTGGCTTGGCTAATTTCTTGCCTTGAGGCGGTTCCTGGGTTGAAGTCTGATAAGCAACGGGTTTTTTCTTATATTGCCCTTACATGTTGGTACATTTGGAAGACACGGTGCAACTTTCTTTTCAACCATCAACCAATTGATCCTAGGCAGGTACTCCTAACCATTTCCACTTCCATAGGGGCTTTCTTGGCAGCTACCCAATCATCCAGCACTCGTATAATACCTGGTTCTCGAGCATCGGTGACTTCCATGACTTGGATTCCTCCAAACTCAGGGGTCATTAAGATTAATGTGGATGCTAGTTGGGGCATTTTTTGGGTGCAGATAAGTATCCCATAAAGGCTGAGAGTGTGGCTATGGCGGAGGCGCTGGCTATTAAGCATGGCTGCGAGTTGGGTCACCAATTGGGTTGCAATTCAGTGATAATTGAATCTGATTCCTCTGATGCAATCTCATGTCTGCGGGATTCTCTCTCAAAGGGCAGGTGGGATGCTTTCCCTGTACTTTCACAGTGTGCTAGATTGGAAGAGACTTTCCATGACTGTCGCTGGTCTTGGATTCCAAGATCGGCCAACAAAGTTGCGCATCTCTTGGAGTAGCGGCGAAGTAGGGAAATGTGCAATGTGGTTTGGATGGACAGACCTCCATCTTCCCTAGTTCATGTTCTCTGTAATGGACTTCCTTGTCCACACTAGGTTTGTTTGTGAGTAGTGTGAGGAGTAACGTTTTGCATTAGGTGTGGCGTCAGTCTCCTTGTGATTCCTTCCTCTACCTATTTTCTGTTGCCATGTTTGGTTGTTTGCCTCTCTGTAGGCCTTCTTGTTTACCTTTGGCATCTTTACCCGGATTAATTTAATCTTGTGTTACAAAAAAAAGAAAAAAAAATCACCTACCTTTTATAATTTTATTTCTACCTTTTTTTTTTTGTTTAAAAATTTCCATAAAAAATAATTGCAACAAGATTTGCATGAACAAAACACTACCCAACAAGAAATTTGTAACTGGAACATAATGTGCTATACCATGTGTCATTATAAATAAACATAATTAACATGTCCCATTTTATGATATATTGTTCAATACAATCCACCTATATTATCTCCCATAACTATAAGTTTGAATTAGAGAGATTACCTTATTAAAAAAAATAAGGCATCGGTATCATTTAGCATACACTATAATTATTTAGAATTACACTCCAATGTTACATAATTATGATAAGATTCATGTTAATAATAAAGAATGACGTGATTATTACTATAACAAGGTTGGCAGTTACATTGTGGACATTCTATTACATTGTCAAGGTAAGTTTTTGTACTTCAACGTAATTGAATTACAATATTAACGTTTATTATTACATCATTGACATACTAAAACAGCATATATGTATGTTACTACTATGAAACATTATGAATTTACATGACGTCTTAATTTGGTTACAACAAGACGTCAACATACAATGTCTAAGTAAGGTTACATTGTAATCATTCAGATTTAGATTCTAAGGTTACATAGTTATCTTAACTTTATATTTAATTACACCAAATGACGCTAGTATTACTATTCCAAGGCCTTACATTGTGGACATTAGGTTACACCGTGATCATTCAAATTTACACTCCAAAGTTACTTAATTATCTTAATATTATACATAATTACCTTAACGTTATACCATTGTTACCCTTTACGATGTAGACGTTAGATTACACTATTAAGGTATTATATTATAGTTGAACAATTAACAGCTTAACGTTCAAACTAAATGGTACCAATTTCGCTGAGTTTGAATGTTTATGATATTTGAAATATGATTAAAATTATGGAAACTGTTATTAGCATTTCAAAAATCTTATTCTGCACTCCTCACAAGTAGTACGATAGTGTCATTAACTTAAAGAGTATTACAATTCTCAATTTAACTTGGCGCCATCAGTCTAGGTTTCCGATGAATCTTTAACCTTACTGCTCTCTCCAAGCAGCTCGAGGCAAGACTTTTCGATAGCTGCCTCTTCCTTGTCTTCGCTTTTATCAGATACTTCCTCATCAAGTGGTAGAGGATACGATGATACCTGGCCTGGTTTATTGCCAGGGTTCTCTTTTTCCCCCTGCAAATGATGGTCTAAATTCACTTCAACTGGCATATGTTCAGCATCTCCAGTAGGATGTTCAGACGGCATACGCTCAGCATTCACTTGGTTCAACCCTGCTGCCATTCCCTCGTCTGGAAACGACTTCCTTGTTTCTCTTCAAATGCTGATCATCACATGGTGGGACAAAGCCGCTATTAGTTTGGAGATCATGGGTTTCTTCAGCCTCTGTATCAGTAGGATGAAGTTCGGATGGCATGCACACAGTAACTTGGTTCGACCCTGATGTCATTCCCACCTGTCTGGAAACCACTTCCTCGTCTCTCTCCAATTGCTGATCATCGCATGGTCCACTAACACCGCTCTTAGTTTGGAGATCATGGGGTTCTTCTGCCTCAGTACCGTTGGTTGGTGCGTTACCCTGTGGGGATTTTAGACCATCAGGGGCATCTGATATCACCTCCCTTTCACCAGCCTCTTGATGGTCTGTATCGTCGACTGCATCTACGTTGTTGATAGGTTGCGAAATAGAATCTCCATGAGTGTAATCACTCTGTGTACTCACTTCCCAGTCAGGTTCTTCCGCTGTGCTTTCTCCTTTTGATTCACTTTCAGCTGCTTTTAAAGTGGCAGGAAAAGATTGGAAAGCATCCCAATCATCTTCATCCTCTTCTTCCTCTTCGATTTCTTGGTCATCAGAAAGAGAATGCGCTGTGGTGGCTGATGGTGGAGGTTTCTCTTTGCTTGCCTCTGTTGGAACTGGTAATTTTATCTCTAATGACGGAGTTGTGGGCTTCAGCTGGGTTGCATTATGCTCTTGTGTCACAGACGCACGGATGAACCCCTGAAAAGACAAAGGGATTTAAAGTTCTGTTTGTAAGCATCCATAAAAAGTAGAGCCTGAGACTCCCAAGTATTCCAGTTCGTTCCAAAACAATAGCAAAATACTTTTGAAAGACATATCCAATAAACGGCATAGAATACCATTCTTGAATCTGCAATAGCAAGAGCACCCAACAAAGAGAAGAAAAAGAGACCTGAAGTTGCTGTCGGTGTGTTACAGGCATAGACAGCAATATATCCTTGAAGTGAACTGCTGACGAAGGAAGCTGAGCAAGATGAGAAACAAGCCTTACAGCAGTGCTTCTTAATGTATTGACTTCCTGTCAATGATGCATAATTGGAAAACCATCAGTCAAACACGTGATAAAAGACAGTTTGAAACTTTGAATTTTAGAGGCTGCTTATTTTATTACCAGTGAAGAACCTTCTTCTGAAGCCTTGAAAACCAGGATTACGGCTTCCAGGAGTAAATTCATAAAACCTCTCTGACATTCACTAGGTTTTGAAAGTGTCTGCAGCACTACTAAGAGTCTTAAGCATTCGCCAGCAACAGTTGCTGATTTTTCAGTTACAGGTTTCTGTCAACAAAAGACCTTCAGAACGACAAATACCATAGACAAAAAGGGAAACGGGGTTATAATTATCTAAAAGGATAGTCTGAAACACCTTTAAAGCATTCTGGATTATCACAAAAAAATCTGCAGTAAGCTCCCCAACAAAAAGCATTAAAAATTGTTGCCTTCCACATATGGGGTTTTCTGTACCAAACTTTTTAGCACTTGTAAACCAATTGATTGAACCTGTGCACAATAGAAAAAAATATTATCAGTTGTCACATTCTTGGAAAAAATGACCATAATAGTACAGAGAATGCATATGAATGTACCTGTATATTTGAATCGGTAAGTACAGTTTGGACACATTTTGTGCAGTATTTAAACATAGTATAATAGACGGAATCACCATCTCTATTCTCTTCAAGATAATTTATTTCGTAACCCAACTTGGCAAATGATATAGTTTGTTCAAGAGAGAAAGCAAGCTTTGTTTGCAGTAGTATGTGCAAGTCAGATCTCTTATTTTCCTGCAGATGAATGGACTTAATGCAATCCTCGGTCAAATCAGTTATCACATTCAGACAAGTTCCCAATAATTTTTGCATATGAAGAAGACCATCTTCACTGACACCGGATTTATCTGCAATGTGAATTTTGATTAGCCCAAATTTATTAATGAAGAAGCCACTGTTTTAATAAAAATTTGGCATAATCTTTAGTATGAATATAGAAGGAAAGAAGCAAAATAGGCCTTAAATGGATGTATATGTGTAGAAATTATGTTGGAAGGTAAGTTGACAACTAAGAAAATGGAGGATATGGAAGAACTTTGGTTTTTATTCAAATTATATAAATAGAATGGTCAGATCAGTTTTATTGTCACAGTGCTCACCATCAATAAAGCTTTTCAATAATAGACTTGTGCACTTGAAAAAATCGTCCACCTTGGAGAAACAAAACTCAGTTGAGGCTTCTCTGATTCCCTTGTAACCAATTAAAAGAAACGCCAATGCAGCAGAGATTAGCTGTGTCTGCGTGCCAAAACATGCAGTTCAGCAAAAAGATAAAAATTAGTGGTTAATACAGTCGTTCAGAATTTTGTAAAAAGCATAGTTATGAAAAACTGCACGGCAATTATATAAATTAGAAATAATTCCCATTCAATATAAATAAACTAGTAACAATGAACACACCTACTGACCTTTGGTTGAAAACAGTTTACGAGTGTTTTAGCAGTGATAAATAATGTGGATATCAAATCCTCCGAGGGTTTCTCCAAAGATATTGCCTTACTACTGAACACAAAAATATGAACCTTCAGCTTATTGAGAGTGATATCAGAGGTTTAAAATAATTAAAAAAAAAAGTAAAATAAATTTGTATATTGATAGATTCCATTACCTTTGAAATACTTTGTAAAGATAAGCCAAACCAAGTTCCATTGCCAAATACGCAAAGTTGTCCACTTCATAAAAAGATTCAGGGCAGTTCTTCACAATCTATTGAAAGAATTAAAATAAAACACCAATTCAGGATCTGTGACAAAGACAAAATGCATACAGAACTAATCTCTTGTAAAGTCCTTTGAATGGAAGGTTCCCTGGCCAAAGAAGTAAAGTTGTCCACTTCATGAAAAGATTCAGGGAAGTTCTTCACAATTGGAATAATCAAAATAAAACCAAAATACACAATCTATGACTGACATTACACACAGACAACTAGTCTCTTATAAGGTCTTTACATACAGAAATCTTTTTGACATTACAACTCGTAATCTCCGGTCCACAGTTTTCTAAACACATAAATATGCAGCCAACTTTATTAAAGGATATGATTCCTACCAAGCTAACGCACTAAAATGAAAGAAAATATAAGTAAATAAAAAGCAATTTACTGTTATGCAGATCAAATTATTGTTCTGCAAATCCACATACAAGCTTTTATAAAAGAGCTTAAGTTTAGCAAAGTGCAAATGGTTCATAATATCAGTAGGAGTGTAAAAAGGCATGTTGGCTGTTGCAGCCTGCAGGTGGACGCTACCAAAGGAACTGGAACAGTTAGTAACTGAATGAACGAATGAATCATAACATTCTGAGGTAACAACTCAAA